CCCCAAAACCCCAAAACCCCTTGCAGAACATATTCAAGTATTAAGAGTAACTTTAATTTGATTGATTAATTAATTTAAATTCAATGAATGCCTCTGTTCTTCCACTTAATGAATATGATGAGAACTCGGATAAACTTTTAAAAAATGAAACGTTTTGAATTCTAAATGATGATGACACAATTACCCCAGAGCCAGCAATTCCTTAAGATTTAAAATTGATGAGTAAGTTAGAATTAGATACTTTAGAGAAAATAGAGGATTTACTGTAAAAGGGAAAAGAAAACGAGTTATCACAAGTTGAGAAGTAGTTCGTGATGAATGAATTCATAAGTTAGTAAAATTTGTTAAAACCATCTAGCCATTATTTGTTGCTGAGGTAGAATTTCTCCAAATCACCTTTTATTTAAGTCTTAGGTGAAAAAACATGGTTTATAAAAGATGAAATCCTCTATAACATAGAGTTTAAAGACAATTTTTAAAATGCCGATGAAAGATTAATTTACTTTAATAGTACAGCAAAGCTTTTAGACAATATTAGTTAAAATTAAATTAATGAGCAAACTAACAAAAGAGTCAAAATATTGAAACCCTGCACAATAATTAACATCTCAGAAATAAATTACATGAAAATTAACAGTATTGATGAATTATTACCATTAAAGAATCATTATCAGTTGGTAATGTACAGTCTACCATTTCTATAAGAAATTGGTAGGAGTCAAATGATTATGGACTATGGGAATCCCAGTATGAAATTAATTGTTCAAGAAAAATTTCTTTATGTTTACGATGAATCATGTATAATTGAGTATCAGACATTTATGACTCTCTAGCCATTCTAGATTTATATTATGAATGGCCAAGAAAAAGTAGTATAAGTAGCAAATCTGATGAAAGAATAACACTTAGGAACAGTTATAATTACCAAAGACAACTGCCATTATTTTTAATACAAACATTTGAAAAGTGGTGGTTTGTTTCCCGAGCATAAGATTTCAAAGCCTCACAATTTAGAGTTTAACCCATAGCACTAATATGATGCTATAAACACTCCAAATTATATATGCTTTCAAAAAATGGATAGTGTATCATTTGATTATATGTGGACAACAGATTATATTCTAGATTTGAACTAATTTTAGAAAGTACAGCTTAAAGATTAATATCACAGTATCAATTAAAATCCTAACGTTTATCTTTATGAGAACATTTTAGTGTCAAACTCTTCGAATAAAATGCTATAATTTACTTAAGAAGGAAAACTAATTGAAACTGATATTAAGAATTTTCTGAATATAAACTATTGAAGCTTTCTATTATCATCTAAATGGAATATGTATTATGACTATGGATATAAGTAATTGATTTTTCGCCTAAAGATCCAAAAGTTCAATGATAAACTAAATCTTGCTTATTTATTCTTTGATACTAATTGCTAGGATCTCTAATTATCTCTGGGTGTAATAGATGATTTTGAGTATGGAGATGATTCTTATTCATAAGATCCTATGTTTTTAGGTGAGGATAGATTAGAGTTATTTAAGATAGAATAAAGGCTATTCCATTTTAATGAAGGTAATATTCTCTTATTTGGAAAGCTGGGTAATTAGTTGTTTATTTAGAATAGAAAGATAGAAAAGAGATTTTTAATTCAACCAACTTAAAGTCTACAGTACATTTTCTAGGATGTAAGCAATTTCATTGATACTTGGAGTGGTTAAGAATATAAAGAATATAAATATTAAAGATAGCTATCTTTAGTAGTTAATGGTTAATTAAAAGATTACTAAACACGAGATGATTTTTTTTTCAGGCACTACCCAATGCTAATGGATATGAAACAGGAATAAATTTCAGGTTTAATCAAAGATCTATCACTATTGAAGATCTCAACGCTTATGAATCATAGGTTTTCTGAGGAATCTCAGTATATGTACTTTACTAAAGTAACAGATAGCCATACATGGATGATTTTTAGTGAGAAAAGAGCCTTATTCTTGGGATTTGTTAACAAGAAAAATAAGTAAAAATTGCTTAAGATTAAATTAAGGGATCTAGTCCAAGTAAATGATGAAAAATATTACTTTTAACTTTCAGATGATTTAAATTAACTATTTATCTCAAGTAATGGTTAAGGCTCAATCAAAATCTTAAATGATTAAAGCAACTCATTCGTAAATGCATTTGGAACTGCAAATTCCCAAGATCTTACTAAGTATTCAGATTTGATAAAGATATTTAAGTTTACTGGATCGCAATTGATTAGTTTAGCGTACAGATACAACGCTTTATATCTTGAAGAATATCTTTATGAACCTCTTTCATAATCATATGAGATAGTAAAATCGTTAGATATAACATACAACACCTTTTCTAGATTGATAGATGAATTAGAATAGGATAAAAATCAAGCAAATAAAGTTAAGAATTTCGATGAAGACTCCTCACTTATCTATAAAGATTAGTATCTCCTGATAAATTTAAAATATGAAGTCCAAATCTATCTAGTCTAAGATTTTAAGTATTTAGGAGCATTGCAGTTTAGCAGAGCCAATTTTTTCGACAAGTTTAGAATTTCCAATAATAAAGACTAGCTATTGCTATTGTTAGAAACTAGTGATAAAACTTAATAGAATGAAGTTACTAAATATGTATAGATATTTGAAGGATTCATTGAATCCTTTTAGAGAATTAACCCTAATAAAGTAGTATTAAAGTATGTAATGAAAGAAGAATTAATATAGTTTACAGATTTCAATGATAGGAGTTTTAGTTATATCAGTTTCAAATACAATCTAGAGAAATAACTTGAAATTTTGCAATTTGCATACAACTAAGATGATACAGCTTTGATCGAATAAATAAGAAATTTTAGTCTTGAAGATTTAACATACTATATTAGTAATTATCATGGAACACTGATGCATTAGTTGATTTCAAGATAAGATTCAATCTATGAAGTCATTATTCAAAGATTTTATTAGTTGCAGATTAAGAGGATTCCCTAAATATTCATTCTTAATACTTAAGGCTTAACTGCTTTTGATTATGCCATTTACAAGAATGAATACAAAGTCATCTTAATGATGCTAGAAATGGTGATCAAGTTCTAGAACAACTTCCTAAATAATCATGTAGTTGACAAAAATATCTTGTACTTGCTTGAAAGTGGAGTTGATATGAGAGATTACTTCTCAAGTAAGTTGCCTTATACTAGAATAGAAACTAAAAACTATCCTATTTATTCAACTTCAGATGCAGAAATTTACATGTCAAAATTTGATTAATAGTTAAGTCTTTCTTCGATCTGCAACAGTTATAGCAAAATATTTGGGTAAATCAATGAAAGCATTAAAGGCCCATCTTACTAAATAGAATATATATTAGTGAATATCCCAGAGACTCTTACAAACGCTAAATTTATCGAGCTTCTCTAAGAAAGTGATAATCTTGACTTATTCGACTGTGAGATAATTTAGTTCATTCTTGATTTCAAATGGCAAATGTATGCCTAAAAGTTTTTTAGAGGAAATTTCATGCTTTACATGATTTTCATGACATCCTTCCTGATCGACTTATATTTCTTTGTAACTTAGAAGAGTAATAGATCGAGGGGGACTTAATTCATATTGAAACTAGTGTGTTATGTTTACTTGATATATTCAATCTATTATGAGGCAAAAACCTATATAAAATAAGGCTGGCAAAACTATTTCAATGAGTTATGGAGTTATGTAGATATTATAGTAGTTATTCTTTATATCGTTTACTCTGTGCTAGATCTAATGAATAAATATGAAGAGATAGTTGTTATATTCTACTCTTTGACACTAATTGCATCTTTTATCAAGCTTTTTTCATTTTTAAGAATTTTCAAGGGATTCAGCTTTTAAGTCTCAATGCTAAAGGCAGTGTTCATTGATTTGAGATATTTTATTGCTTTATATGCTTTTGTAATTGTTTTATATGCGTTAATATTTACTCTGCTTGAGATTAAAACAAGCGATGAGGATGTTGAATACGATGGAATAAGTTTGTTTGGATATTTCATAATGGCTTTTAGAGCTTCAACAGGGGATTTCTAAATTGATAATTACTATCAACTTGACAAGCACCACATTTAGTTTGCATGGGTTATTTGGATTAGTGCCGTATTGATTTTGAATATTATTTTACTCAACTTCATTATTGCTGTAATATCTGAATCCTATGAAAAGATTATGTAGAAAATGGTTGCTCAATCCTACTTTATCAAGTGCTAGCTGATTTATGAGTGTGAATTGAATTACAATTAATATGGATCTAATAATGAATAATTTCCCAGATACTTTATTTTGAGAAGACCAATGAGGGGTTCTCATGAAGAAAAATAGGAATGGTAAGGTTTTGTTAAAGATATCAAGAAAACTATTGATAAGACAAAATAATTGTTATTGGAAGAGTAGAAAGAGATAAAATTGAGCATTTATAACACTCAAGATTAAATAGCACAAAATCAGGCATAGATGTTAAATTTCTAGCAGGAAATACTTAAAAAGATGGAAATCTTAGAATAGAAGTATGAACAGAATTAAATTTGAACTTAATTTTTAATTTCATAATCTATCTATCATAAAATCTATACATTAGGGGTTTTGGGGTTTTGGGG